AGCGCTCTATCCCCTGATCCATCACGGTTCGGATTTGATTGTTTATGTGAAATTAAAACAATTTTTAAAAAATAAGTAAATTGCAATTTTTTTTTTTTTTTTGTAAAAACTGTAAATTATTTTTTTTCTTGAAATTTTCTTTCTAAAAACTCTCTCATTACCAGGGTTACCTTTTCACATGGAATATACAGAGAATTTAAAAATCATCTGAAATCACAGAAAAAATGCAGAGTATTTTGTTTCATATTTTTGTCTTTAAATACTAAACTATTCAATTTATTTTAGCATTATTTTTTTTTAAGTATGCTAAGATGTTCCTTCTTTCTCTAAGTTTTTCCAGAAATTATAACTTGTATAGTTTGCCCAATACAGCTCACACAAGAGTACAGTAATTGTTGTGTTTCCTCTTAATATATTGTATATAATATGTACAGGGAAATTTGTTTTTCTTCCTGATTTTAGTGGCCACTTTGTTTAAGGTGATAAACTATAATAATCATTGGTGTAATTTGAATTAAACAAATTATGAAAAAGAAATACAAATTTTTGTTACATGTGAAACAATTTATAAATAAACTGATTCTCAGAGGCTCCTGGGCTATGATCGCAAGGTGCGTACTGTTTTTAAAAAGTGCTTAAAGGTGCTTATTTTTGATTTGCTATTTTTTTTTTTAAACACTTAAAGACGCTTTTTTTTATTGGGGGTTTGTAAAAAAAGCCTATTTTCTCTCTTTTAAAATTTTTTTTTTTTTTTTAAACTGTTGATTGTCATAAATTACAAAAAAAAATTCATAATTTTTACAATTTTCTCTGCAATATTTATCAGAAACTAGTTATTTTATCATGATTATGTAATGTCTTTGAAAATGTTTTTGCATTTTGTTGATTTTATGTTTATAAATAAGGACTTTAAGCGATAGAAATATATAGTTTTTATTGCTGCACGTATTCTAATTAGGATTTTTTTTTTTTTTTTTGGAAAGTGATTAAAAATAATTTTTGAGTGTTTAACATGTTCACTGCTACGTCACCCATATTCGCGCAACAGCAAAGTTTCTGATCGGAATTGTTATAAAAGTAATACAAAAATGATTTATAAAGAAAATTATTATGAGCCTCATTTAAGCTTTTTTGTTCACTGCAATTGGACTCACTAAGAAGAAATAAGATTTCCATTTTTCTTTTCAAAGAATTGGGGTCCTTTTTACTCTGCAAGGATTCAAACTGAAATGGCGAGATGAGAAACAAATAAGCAGACATGATACCATGGAAACAAACTGAGTGAGATATTATTCTTGTGACAAACAGCCGACCCAATTTTTGGATTTGCGACTACTAATGTTCAACTCCATAGCCTTGTCATTTTAAACCCAATCCAGACAACAAGGGAACTCCTGGATAAAGTATTCGGAAAATTTTGCTTTTGATGGACCCATAGTTAGCTGGCAAAGGAACTCTAACCTATGATGTGTCTACCTCTGAGGATATTTTACAACAGCACCGAGGTTGATGGAAGCCGAATGCGGATTCATATTAACCAGCCATTTTTGGGATTCAAACCCGATTGCCCTCGTCAAAAAGCAAGCGCTCTATCCCCTGATCCATCACGGTTCGGATTTGCATTATTAAGATAATGGTGGGAGTAACTAACAAAATACACTTCGTACAGCAGCACTTGTGACTGCTTTACATCCCCATGTGAAGCGGCCACGAGTGCCGCTTTACGAAGTGTATTTTATTAGTTACTCACACCATTATCTTAATTTCATTTTAAACATGTGTGTCAGTCAATGTGTTAAAGAGTGCTTATCGTTTTGTTGAAAAATATGACTACACACCCTTGTTCAGGTACAAAGAAGACTTAGATTGAAAAGTTAGTTGATCATCACACATATTCAATCTATTTTTCAAATTGTCATAATTTTTAATGATTGTCATCATTTTTACCTTCCTTGTTTTGTTATTTTCAGGCGAGAGTCTATGAAGCAGACGATCATCGGGGAAGTCAATAGCAAAGAAAAATCTAAAAAAGGTTTTTTTTCTTTCTTTTTTTTCTTAATTCTTTGGGTTCAAAGGTTATTTTATTGTAAACATTTGCAAGAAACCACTTTATAATAATAATTTAAAATGAAGCTTTTAAAAAATTTTAATATCCGAAAGAGTTGTTTGGATGCACATTTTCTTTGCACCATAGATTTAATTCAATTAAAAAATATGATTCTCATCTGATTTTGAAAGTTATCAATTTGTGGACTTTTGAAATATAACACAATCAAAACCAAAACATAGTGCTTTTTAAAGGTGCTTATTTTCGTTTTTTTAAAAGCCCTTAAAGGTGCTTTTTTATTGGGTATTTTTCAAAATGTGCTGAAATATCCCTTTTGGAAAATGAGATGTTTTCTTCTTTACCATGTTAATTTTCGCCACGTATTATGAAAAGGCTTGGTTTTCGCATTGTTTTATTCAAAGTTTTCACAACGTATTTCAGCATACCATCGCTCTTTTGCGTATGAAAGCAGCAATTAATTTTGCATGTGTGTATACGGAACTGGGTTCGGTGAGATTGTAGCTCTCTCATGTGCAACTCTGCTGCATTTTGCAAGATATTCTTAATTTTAGGCTTCATTTTCCATTCTTTCATTTTAAAATTATTTTGCATTTTGTTAATGTATATAGTGCTTAAAAATATTTTTTGATTGCTTTAAACGTACTTAAGAGGTTCTTATTTTTTGTTGAAAGATTTGGCTAACCCTGAAATAAGATAAAGAGAAAAACAAAGATTAAGTTTTAATTATTAATAAGATATTTTGAATCCTTCTTGAAAGTTTCCAGTCCATATAAGTTCATTTAAATTCTCTACTCGCTTTATAAATTTAGTTTTTTGTTTTGTTTTTTTATAAAATATTTTTTACTTAATGTGTCCTATTCTATTTTGTTTCAAAGAATTTTTTGAGTGCACCTCACACTATTGCATTGATATACTTTGCTTTGATTCCTATATTGATTCAATATTAGAAAGAACTCCTTTTTGTGAGTGTAATCGTGTGAGCTGATAAAGAGATTATATATTTTTTCCCCCATATTTTTATTATTATTATTTTTAAATATAATTTTCTTTTTTTCATTGTTATTTAATTTTTTCCATGTTTTCTCAACATTTTAAAATTTTGCTAAAGTAATTATGTGTACATTTTTAAACTTTAAGGAATCTCTTGTTTTTATGAATTGAAAAAATTAAATTAAGTAAAATAATGTATATTGTAAATCCTGATTGTTTGTTTATGAAAATCAAATTAGGACAATCTAAAAGCAATGCTGTGCAATGATTAATTATGTGTATTATAATTGCATCCATTATGCAAAATGTAATCCCATTGAAATAGTCCATCAACACTAGTAAGATATCTGTATAATTGTTCTCCTCCTTTTTAAATCTGTACGCATCCTGGAAAAATGCCCCGTGGCAGAATGGCTGCGACATTGTTGCAGATCGTTACAAAGTGCTTGCAGAAAGATTTTTCTTTTGAAAAGTAAAGAAAAAAAATTACTTTTCTTTTCCACAGAAGTTTACATGTAATATTTTAATCAAGTATTTAGATAATCACTTTTTGACCCGCTCAGTTTAAGCCAATAGTATAGTAAATCGATGTAGTGTTATGATTGTATTTTCGGCAGTTATTGATATTGATTTTAAATATCCTGATGTATTTCAAACAATATGGAAAATTGTGCATTTGAGTATTTACTACTTAAGGCATTAATCGAATGTTTAACAGTTATTGTTATTGATTTCTCAATAGTTTTTAAACCCAATATTTTTTATATGATATTACCATCTAATCTCGTAACGAAACACGCATTTGAGGAGTCCGATTCAAGTGATTTTGTTGTCAATTTTTTTTCCGCAATTATTACTTGGATTTCACGATTTTTAATTATTTTCTTTTTGTGATGATTACTTGTTCAGTTAAAAAAAATTCTATGACTTTTTCTAGCAATTATATACAGTTAATATTCTATTATTATTTTGTTTGTTTCGAATAATATCTGTCGTATACCTATTTCTACCACCACCGGTCATTTCACAGTGAGAACAATGTATTGCTTTATAAGGTTATCGGATCAGAAATGGCAATGTCATGCGTGTTCAACGTATTGCATTCGATGAGTTGCACATTTCTGCAAAGACTGTTACATAGTCAGTTCAAATCAGAATAACTGTGATTTAAAATTTCAAGAAAGTACCTAAAATTTTAGATTGGCATTTTTGTGTGAGAAAAACTAAATGTTTTGGTAAGTAGCTTATATATTATTTTGATAGCTTTACTTCATTTCTTACTAACTGTTAGTTTTTACCCAAAAAAATTTCGATACAATCGAGACAGCACAAGTTCTTAGTAGAAATAATATTAATAGTAAGAATAGGTATAAGAATTATAATTCATATATATATTCTTATAATCATAAGAATTATGGAAATAATAATAATTAGAAGAAATATGTTTGAGGAAAATGTACAATGGAAACACACCCTGTATATGTGAAGAATGGGTTGAGCAATGGATTAAAAGTTCTTTGTGTTTGTAGTAAATACAAATTGGCAATATACAATTTTGTTTAAATATAATTAAAGTTTATTTCCCACCTAACATCCATATTTCATACATTCAATCAAGAAACATAAAATCTGGTCATTTGACCAGTTATGGTAGAAATAGGTCAAAGTGTTGGTATGTTTAGTGTTAACAACATATATGTTTATTATTATTAAATGTGTTGTCACACATAAAGATATTAATGCTAGACAGCCACAGGGGAAATATGGTAACTCTGGTCTAAAATAAAAATGAATTTCATAATTTCTTGTTATTATTGAATAACCTTGAGAGGATTCTGTTGAAAAGCAATAATTTCTTCTTTCTTTCCAGGAAAATTCTTATGTGCCAAAAAATACCATAAAAAGAAAAAGAAGAAACTCTATAATCCTAGTTTGAACGATGGTAAATAAAACATTAATCACTCAAAATCAGTATTCAGGAAAATTATATAGCAATTTATATCTATTTATTATTTCATTACTCTTTTATAAATTTAATATTATAATTTTTAATACATAATTATGTCAGAACTGTATTATCTAACAATAGTTTTTTAACCAATCATGAAGCCTACTTTTATTTTTACAGCCAGATATCCAAACTTGAAAAAATGTAATTTAATTTAAGTATTTTTTACCCCAATCTATTTTATGTAAATTGGAGGTTCTAATGTACAAAGCTTTTGTCTAACTAAGAAATACAGTTGTACAATAATTTAATGTAGTATTTCTACTTTTGTTCTCAATTTAAGGTTTATTTTTCTTCATTTAAAATTTAGTATTTGATATTATTTTTAACCCCAATCTACTTCATGTAGACAGGTTAGAGGGAGGTTTTTGTGATTTTCCTCCTCCTGTGACAAAAATGCGGGTTAGTTCCATCCCAAAGTCCTCCATAAAAAACAATTTTCTTCCAATACTTGATCCAGGAGTTAGTTCCCTTGTCTTCTGGATTGGGTTCAAAATGACAAGGCTACAAAGTTTAATGTAACCCAATTTTTTGGGTTTATGACTGCTGTGGTAGTCGTAAGCCCAAAAAACGGTTGACGGTTATAATATAATATTGTGTTTATTTTAACAACTACAAATATTTGTTGCAGAAGTTGAAGGGGATGAAATCCTAACCTATGAAGAAGTAGCTTTATACTATCCAAGAGCCAATCGTAAACGTCCAGTCGTGTTGATAGGTCCTCCTAACATTGGTCGTCACGAGTTGAGGCAACGACTGATGGAAGACACAGAACGTTTTGCAGCAGCTGTTCCTCGTAAATATGCTTTACTGTTCTCAAAACAATTTAAGGTTTTTCTATGTTGGCCCATCATAAATCAGTCCTACATTGAGATGATGGTTGATCCTTTCAACATTTCATTTCTAAGATGGTACAATTCCATGATAGTTTAATAATAATTTTTTATTTGCTCTCTGGAATATTCTTCTTCAAAGCAATTTTATGTTGGACCATCATAATTCTTAAATTCCAAGATTTGATTTGTAAGAAACTGTGATGGTTCAACATGAACAAGTGTTGCTATTCTTTTGTTGGACCATCGTAAATCAGTTTCGACATCGGGATTGTTGATTGACATCAAAAAATTTAATTTTTTGATAATTTTAACATAAACTAAACAAATAATGATGAAGTGAAAAATAAGTAGAGATATGTATAGAGAAAATTTGTTGTTTATTATTCTGTGATTGATGTAAAACAATGTACAAGGTTAACTGTTATTTTCATCTTATTTGCTGTAAAAAATAAATGAAAATTTGATCATTGATTTAATGTCCTTATCATAATAGAAAGGTACATTTTGGAGTGGGTGAGCTAAATTCTAGTAAATAGATTGTGTTAATTAATAATAAGTTCCGTCTTTAAATATTTTTAGAGTGACACCTTTGGGGCAAATTGTGTTTTTAAAGGAGATTCATATTTTTCCCCTCTTAGATTCTTATAAAGCATTTTGCTGCTTGAGGGTCTTGCAAAAATATTTATACAAAAAGGGCAACCACCCCACAAAGAATACAGGGAATTTTAAAATCACAACAAAATGACAGCGAAAATGCAGGGAATTTTGTTCCTTTTTTTACGAATTTCTTGTTTTTGTTTTTTAAAAAATGACCACTCAAGGCCCTAATCTATGGGATATTTAAGATGATATTCAGCTCAGCTATATATTTTAGCTATATAACAATTCATTTACTATAGCATTATTTAAGTATGTTCCTTTTTTCTTCAATTAAAACTAGAATGGTTAGCCCAATACAGCTCATACAAGAGCACAATGATTGTGTATTTCCTCTTATTATATTGTGTATAATATGTACAGGGAATTTTTTTCCAGATTTGAGTAGGAACCCTGATGCCACTTTTCCAGAAATCTGCAAAATTCTGTTGTTTTCCCCCCCCCCTTTTTTTCTTCTTCCTTGCTAGTTTTTTTATTACGAACTTAAGTGCTCTAAAATTGTAAAAATTTGATTTACTGAACTGTAAGGAGCATTCATAAGTTGTTAAAAAAAAAAATTGCATAAGTACATGGTGCCTAGCGTTTTTAAAAAGCGCTTAAAGGTGTTTTTTTAAGGCCCTTACAGGTGCTTTTTACGCAGTGTGTTTTTAAAAAGTGCTTAATTTTCCTTTTTCAAAAAAGATTTTTTTTTTCTTTCTTTACCGAGTCTATTTTTCAATGTAATATCAAAATTATAGTTTTCAAATTGTTCTATTCAGCATTTTCCCAATTCATTCAACCATAATCCTTTTCGGTGTGCCGTCGGTCTGTAGCATATGAAAGGGCTAATCATATTACATGTTTGATTAAATACTTGGAAGTCCGCATGTGTGTCTACTGAGCTCTCGTGTGCAACTCTGCTACATTTTGCATAATATTCTCCATTTTCCACCCTCTGAAATCGAACCGAAAAATCTATCAATCTTTTCATGGTGGCTAATATAATCAAGAAAAAGAGTTATTTTATTATGATCATGTTAATGTATGAAGTGCTTTAAAGGTGCTTTGTTGACAGATACGAGTAGGACGAGGCGAGAGAGTGAGATGGATGGTGCAGATTATCACTTCATCTCCAGATCGCAGTTTGAAGCTGATATAGCATCTGGGAAGTTTGTGGAACACGGAGAATACGAGAAGAACTATTATGGGACGAGTCTGGATGCCATAAGAGCTGTTGTCAACTCTTCAAAGATCTGTGTACTCAATCTTCATCCACAGGTAATAATCTACACTCAATTGATCATCTCAGTACTTGGAAGGAACAGTGGCGTAGTTTGGGGGACAAGACCCCCTCTGAAACATTACACTACTTCATTAATGAGCTATTCAGTTCGGTAATTGGGATGTAGACATAAAAAAATTTCATTATTTATTTTAAAGTTCAAAATGTAGTGAAAACATGGTAGTTAAGCAATTTTGAACTAATTTTATGAGTTCTATTCACTTGCAGCTTATGCGCAGTAAATAAAACTTATTATTTTTCTTAATTTTCTCTTTATTTTTTGTGCTATATATATATATATTACTAACTTCTTGGTTGTAGCAACATTATAGCAGTTTGACATATTAAATCTTCAATTTAAAGTTCCAAAAAAAAAATTTTTTTTAACCACGACAAATCAATAATTAAAAAATATTTAAATATTATCTATTTGTTAGCTTATTTAGCTCTTAAGTTTTTAATTATTAAAAAAATCTTTTGAACTTTACTTGTTCATCTAGCATAACATAAAAAGATTAGTTGAAGCTGATCACCATCAAATTTACCACAAAAATCTCCCTCATCTATTTTCGATATTTGATCTGACAAATTACTCAAAATATCTTTATTTTAAACAATTTGAACTTCGCTTTGCGATTACCAAGTGCCAAAACCTGTAGACCTAATATGGATACTTTTTTGAGGAAAATCTGTAATTAAAAAAAGACATTAAACTTGGTTAGACGGACTTTGTATGCATCTTTTAGAAAAATTTATGCAAAAGATCTTTGCATATTTTTCCAGATTGTATCCAGTACTTTTCGGACTACCTGTAATTAAGTGAATATTATGAAAAGTTTTTACATAACTTATACTAACTTTTATAAAGGATTTCCTTCTTGATTTTTTTGTTCAACTTCACTCTTATATATTGTTTTTTGAGAAGCTTCTTTTACATTCTTCCTGTGGCACTTTCATAAACACACTGTGGTGACGAACAAATAATTTCCTGCAATTATAAATTAAAAAAATATTTACAATCCAATAGAAATGTACTAGAAATAAAAGATAGAATTTTTTGTAAATTTATTTTTTCATTTCTCAAGGTATTAATTCAATGAACAATTCATAATCATTCACTTTGATTTTGATAGGAATTATGCATCAAAAATTAATAAAATAAACATCTTGAAAGAAAATTGCTTGATTTCTTAGATGTCAAATAATAGTTTTTCGGTTTTATAAAGCATTTAACAAACAAAGGAAAACATTAAAAATAAGTTATAAGTAGTTAGGCATAATGCAGATCTTTTATTTTTATTTTATAAAAATAGATGGCGCCACTCATAAAAATTAAATACAAAATTTTTCTTAAAATAACTAAACTAGTTGCATACTAGCAAACAAATCTTTGTCTTTGAGGTTTCAAAGCTTTAGAATTCCATTTCGTGTTTGTAAGTTTCCCAAATTTCTTTACCCACTTGTTGCAATCTTTTAAATTTAGAACATTGTTCCTAAGGGTAATAATATTTGATGCAGTAGTTTCTATTTCATTGTTAAATGAAGAAGGCAGTTTCTCAGGTGAAAAAAACTGATATTTCAAGTTTAAAAAATGCAAACAGAAGTACAGAAATCACTCGATGCTGCAAATAACGAGCATGGCTGAAAGATGGCATGCATGAAATCACAGAAAGCATTGCTGAGAAATCCAATCAAAATATCTTATATCACACGAGAGAAAAATAAGAGCAACCATAAGTGGAACCTCCGCTCTATCTGCAACTCTAAAGGCAATTTCTCCCTTCGGACTTGCCCATAGTGTTGCTCGTAACTGGGTCAGCATATTCTATAATTTATCTTAACTTAACTTCTATTATTTATATGATTCTATTTTGTCATAGTTTCACAATGATGTTCGTAAAGGAAAGAAAAGGAAATCACAGAGGTTGTAGATTATTGATTGATTTTGGTTTAATTATGTTCATTTTAAAGTCTTGATTCAGCTGCAAATAAAAATTCTGAACACTTCATTTCCACATTAGTGAAGTAGCTTAGTATAAAAAGGATTATGATTTCTACCTCATAATATAAAATTATATTAAGATATCAATGAATTTCATGTTACATCTCTAAAAGGTTAGGGGGTTAAAAAGGGGATGGACTTAAATACTATCTAGAATTTTTACGATTGTTTTTACTTTGAATCGAGTGAGGTGTTATAGTAATTATTTATGTTTTATATATAAAAGTATAGTTTCTTTATACATATTTACTATCTGACATTGCTAGCTAGGCAGGTGCAGTGTCATTATCTATGTATACGCAAAATCGAATGAGACTAAAGCCAAGCTGTCTGATTTAATAGTTTAGCTATTCGATAATTTATAAAAGTTTCATGTGTAGAAAGTACAATTTTATGACTTATGCCACTTTATGCAACTGTTATTGCTATCTAAACAAGTAAGGCATTTCTTCTCATTTAATTTTTTACGCTTAATTCAAAAAATAGTCCTTTGAAATAATTCTTTAGAAGAAATACTGGTTAAATGTATGAAATATACAATTTTTGACTTACCTTTTACTCATAAAATAATTATAACATCGAAACTATTAGATCTATTAAATCAATTCTATTTTTTTTATTTAGTTTAAAAAAATGCATCATAAATAATGTCAGACTTGTTACTACAGTAGAGAACCATTTATCCGGTATCCAGAAAACCGGGGGAAATTTTGAGCGGTTTTCCCGCCATTTTAAACTAGAATGATTATGAAAAAAAGCGGAAATTGAACTCATCCTTGAAGTTGAGTAGAGGAAAATGTAAGGAAGGGGAGAATTTCTTTCCCCGTTTACCCAGAGAAACGTCATTTCCTCCGTGACCTTGAAGACGGGGAAGGGAGGAATGTTTTTTTTTCTCCTTTAGGCCGTCAATCAAGCTCAAGGATGTGGCATGCTGATTTCGTTTTCTGTTTGATTTACGAGGGAGGTGGGGAAAATGCATTGCATGCATATCAGTGAACAGAAGATGAAAGAGAAAAATATATTTATCTATTTGACATCGATTAATAAAAATAAAATCTTTTTCTTCTGAATAAATTCTCATTTTTTGGAAGTGCGGTATCATTTGCAAATTTTTATTCATGTGGAATCACATCTGCTGTAATTAAATATCGTGTTTTTTTCAACAAAAAAAATAAATAATAAAAGCAGAATTGTTTATGAATTTAAACATAGGATTATTTTATGAAGCAGATTGCAGTTTTGTTTTTCTGATTCCACTACGTTTGATTTTTTTTCTTTTCAGGATAAATTTCACAATAAATTAATTATTTTTACTCATAAATTTTATCATTATGTTTTGTTTTTTAATTCCATTGATCTTGCCTTGTTCCGGGTTTTAATATTTATGCTAGTGCCTTTTTTAACTATCGTTTCGATTCGATAATTTTCAAGTGTTTTTATTTAGATTAATAAGTTTTCCTTTTATTTTATCGTTTTCCCCGTGTAATTAGGTATGAAATATATTGCGTTATTTAACCATTGGTTTTGTTTATATTAGTTAATTTAGGAATTATAATTATTTTTAAAAAATTAATACGAGAATTTTGTATTTTTTAAACTTGTTTTTCTTGTCTAAACTTGCAAATTTTTTTATTCTTTTAATGTTATTTTTCTACCATTTTTTTTTCTTTTTAAAGTTAGGAGTACCTTTCTTTTTTCTCTTACTTTATGCATTACACATTTTCCTTGTAATTCGGGTTCGATAAAACATCGATTAACAACACTTTTTTATCAATCCAGAAAATCGGGAATCAGACATCCGGGATAGCGATGGTCCCGAGCATCCCAGATAATTGGTTCTCTACTGTACAATGTCTCAAAATTTTATTATCAAAAAATTCATTTACCAAAATCATTAAATCATTAAGAGATCATCATTTTTATTCATCTAAGCATTGCATATCAGGAATATCACTTTCATGAAAATTAGTTTTTCCAATTTCTTTGTGAAATTGTTTTTTAACTGTAAGAGGATTTTCAATGTCATACTTACAATTTATTATTGCAAAATTTAAAACATTCATTATTGGTATAAGATAATTAAAAATTAAAGGATTTATTTTAGGACATATTTTTTGTAATATATGCAATATATAAATTCAAATTTATTAATAACTAAGAAAAAAACAATATTTTATGAAGAGCATTCTTTTTGTGTACCCTATTATTTTGTTATAGTCTTTTACGTGTTTTGTTTTGCATTTAAAATAATACAAGAATCAATTTAAAAAATAAAAAATTTAATATCAAGTGAAACATTTAGAACATTATTCATTTACATTTCTTATTTTTTAATTTCATTCATAAAAATAATATTACATCTCTTTCCTTCTTCACCAGACAAACCTTACAGGAATATACAAAATATCTGAAATAAAAAAAAAGAAATCACTATCATTATAAAATTTTACCAACACATTATTAGAATAAAGGAGATTAAATATCATTTATTCTATACACTAATGAAAAATGGCACATATATTTGCTTCAAAAAAATTAATTGCATTTATAAACGAAGACTATTAAAAATGTAAGCATATTGAAAAATTAGTAAGGTAAACTTTACTTACTACCATTGTAGAAAAGTAAAGTATCAATAGCTAACTTTGAATAATAATAAACAAAATATTATGCAAATCATCATACAACAAATAAGAGAGGGGATGAATGGAGAAACAGATAAGGGGATTGGGAACTTGCATTTTTAATAATTGCTTCTTAGATATAATATTACTACTTTTTTTTTTTAATACTTTTCAATAATTACCGAAATGAGAGACTAGATAAATATTTGCCACACATGTTTTCTAACTTGTTTTAAAATAAGTTTTTCAAAAATTAAGAGAATTCTTAGGGAGGAATAAAATAATTATTTCACAAATGATAATAATAATAAAAATAGATTTATTTTTTCAAATATTCGGGCATATGCTTTAACAATCACTATTATATTTT